CATTCAGACTAATGCGGGTTAAAAGAACTGACATTTCTTAAAGGTCTAAATTATTTTTGTCTCTTTGTTTGTTTTGTGAAACAGGGTCTTAGTTCACCCTGGACTTGAACTCACTATGTAGCCCAGGCTAGCCTTGAACTCTCAGCAACTGTCCTGCCTCAGCCTCCTGAATGCAGGCGTTATAGGCATGCGCCAGCATGCCTGACTCAAAGGTCTACATTTTTAACATGCAGTCTTACTCAAATTAAATAACAAGTTATGTATATTGACTATATTTCATTTTTCAGAGCATTGTTTCACAAATATTTCAAATCAGATAATTATATCTCAAGAGAATTTTAACTAATCAGTGTAATTCTGGCATAAACAGAGATAAATTAATCCCAAACTAAAATAATGCTCTGGTAATTTTTGCCATTAAAATCATTTTACCTGAAACATGAAAAAAAAATTTATTTTTTTTCTTTCAACATTTTACTATAGACATTTTCAAGCATAACAAAAGTTGAAAGAATTTGTTGCTGTTCTTGGGTATTACTAATTTGTCCAGGTTGACCTCAAACTAGAGATTCTCCTGCCTCAGTGACCCAAGAAGACAGGACTATAGATGTGTGCCATCATGACTGACTTAGCTGAAAAAATTTTAAATGAGAACCTGTATATTTACCACAAGATCCTACTATTAACTTTTTGAACTTGTTTTAAAGCATTTATCCCTTGATCCTTCCCTGAATCCATGAATCCTTTTTACATAGAGAAGCACTTCAGAATAAAATGCAGGTACCACCACACTTCTAACTACTCTAACATGCACATATAAAAATGATTAGGAGGCCATTAGATTGCGATGGTTGTACCCAGTGCTCTAAATTGCTATGTAGCCAGACATGGTGGCACTTACCTGTAATCCCAGCAATCAGGAGGCTGAGGCAGGAGGATTGATGTGAGTACAAGGCCAGGCTGGGCTACAAACTGAGTTCAAAGCCAGCCTGAACGAGATAGTGAAACCATGTCTGAAAAAGACAGTAAATACACAAACAAGAAACAAACAAATAATTATGTAAGCACACCAAAATCCAACACAATTTGAAGTCTCTTATCCTAGTAAAACAAAACTTAAGCAAACCCAATGTAAAACAGCCAACAAACCTTTAATCAAAAAATTTATCAGTCAGAAACCCCCAAGTAATCTCAAGTAGGGACTTAAACCACTGTTCTATTTTCACCATAGCGAGTATTTTCCACATTTAATCTGTGTTTCCTTCTTGAATTTCTTCTATGGAGCCAAATGACTTCAGGTTTGTCACTACCTAACTTATATGTCCCTGTCTGCTTAAATAACCTCTTTAAAATTTTAATGTAGCCTAAATGTATTTTTAACAACATCTTCAATTACAGTTCAATGCTTGTGTGTATGTAAAATTTATAAAGCACAACCCATAACTCAAGGGTATATTTGCTAAGTTTTGACAATGCATGTGTCTCTACACAGTTAAGCCCTTATCAAAATATAGAATACAGTCATCACCTAAGTAAGTTTAAGTAGGATCAAAATATTTTACTCACAGATTTAAACTTCATCTACCTGATTCCTTTTCCTTTACTTCTCTGATGGCTTTGTGTCAGCCTGACATAAACCTCACATTTGTCTCTAAATCCTAATTTATAACAGCTTCATTTGATTTGACTCTTAGTGATATTATTGCAGGAGTCTATCTAAACAAAAGGGAAAGTTCAAAATCTCAAAAACAAGGTCTCTGTTTTGGTTTATAGACAGGTGTTTTGTACTGAATCCTTAGGTATTATCAGTTACCATTATGGCACTGAATATCTTGACTTTGATGAATCTATATATTAAAGAACTAAATCTATCTGAATTCCAAATGCATAATAGCTAGATCCAACAAAGTGCCCCAGGAGCATTTTTAAAATAAAAATTCATGCCAGGAAGAAAACTTTCCCATTTTTATTAAGAAATTTATATCTTAAACACAAAGAAACGTGTGTGTAAATATGAGTGCGTGTGTGTATATATACAAACATAGTAGGTAAAATATTCATATTTATTAATAATGGCATATAAACTAAATCATGCCTCATTATGTTTCAGATATTACAATAGTATGTCAGAATATAATTGTATATGGATCTCAGTACCCTTTCTACTACTGGAAATAGAGTCCTTAGCATTTTTCAGTCTAATTAGATAAGGGAACCAATTCCACAAACTCCAAATCCAACTCAGGAAATTCATCCTTAAAATCTTGCTCTTCTAGAACTGCAGTATTCTTAGTACCACATCTGTATTATTTAATGTTCACCAGAGAAGCACGGATAGGTGTAAAAGGCGGTACATTATGGTAATTGACTTACATGATTTTCGTCAGCTTGAAGCCTGATAAAGTGTCATCCACTACCTGGAGAATCAAAGGAGGCAGTAGCGTGGTTCATCACAGGTCCGAGGCCTGGGAACCAGGGAAGCCAGTGGTATAAGTCTTATTCTGAAGTTGAAGACCTGAGAACTGAGGAAGGCTACAGGTGCAAGTCTTGAATGCAAAGGGCAAAGAAGCTAGATTTCAAGTACAGTTGAGGATGGATGGGTGCACCAGCTTCGGAAGAAAGGGAAAACAAATTCACTTTTCCTCTGCCTTTTTGTTCTGTCCAGGCCATTAGGCAATTGAGTGGTTTTCCTTACTCAAGCCACTGATTGAAATGCCAATTTCTTCTAGAAATATCCTCACAGACCCACCAGAAATACGTTTTGACAGTAATCTGGGTATCTCTTAACTGAGCCAAGCTGATATCTCAAGTTAAATGTTACAAATGGATAGGGCTGAGTCTAGGAGGTGCACAAATGTGGGGCCTCCAGTCCCTGTCTCAGGGTATCATGGACAGCATTATCTCTTCCCTAGTCACAGTGTGTGAAAATCCTTACCCAGCCTTTGATGTTCAGCATTAGTCTTGATCACCTTTTAGTTGGTTGTGCTGCCAACTCTTAGTCTACAACTCCTCGCAGAAGTTAGGCTAGTATCTTGATCTCGTTTCTCTGGAGTTGGAAATGACATAGCACGGTCCAAAATCCCCATCACACACCACATAGCTAGATTGGTCCATGGCCATGGATTCTAGAGATGACACACTCATCCGGCAAAACGTTACAGGAGCATGGCAATACCATCCTAGCAGACAAGGGCAAGGTCAAACTTCTTTTGAGTAACGATAATTCTTCAATGACAACTGTATTATTTGTTCACATCTGCATCTGTTTAGAGTAAATAATGCATGTCCATGCAAAAAATGCAAAAGGTGTATTCACTTATTTGTATATATATATTTTTTCTTGCACACACAAAGACTGTTTTTACTTGTAAGTATTCAGGGATAATGAAGTCATCGAAGATTTCTCACTCATATCTAACACACATATGCCAGCCAATGATTCATATACTTCATGCCAATGGGTTTCCCTGAAAAATGAAATATGCTCTAAATGAATACACGATAAGAAGTGATCTTCTATATTCTTATTGAATAATGCTTTTTTGCTTTCCCTGGTGCTGGGGATTGAACCCAGGACCTTGTACATGCTAGGTAAGTGCTCAAGCACTGAGCTATATCCTCAACTTTTATTTAACTCCGAGACAAGGTCTCACTAAATTATCTAGGTTGGACACAAACTTGCTATCCTTCTGCTCATCTTCCTGAGTAGCTGGGCTTATGGGCATGTGTCACCACAGCCTATTTTCTTTTAGACAGATCCTTTCCAATAGCTTGTCATTATATTTAATATTGAAACTAGTTTTTCAAAGTTTCAATGAGAATCTTATACTTGTTAACAGTGTGCTACTGCAGGCTGAACAGCCTTGTGCACGGAAGGCAAATGCTTTGGTACCGTGCTACATCCCCAGCCCTTTCTATTTACTTATTTTTTGAGATAAGGTCTCACTAAGTTCCCTAGGCTGGCCTTTACCATAAAGGCAGAATCCTCCTGCTTTGTCTCTTGGGTATCTGGGATTATAAAAGTGTATCACTGTTCCGTTCTACATTGGTTTTAAAGAATACAACTCTAGATAATGCTTTTATAATTTTGAATTCAGGTATCTCACATGACAAATTTTAAAGGAGGATGCATTACTTAACACTCAGAAAAATAATGATTACCTAACTAAATTCACTTACCAGAGAAGTCAGTGTGCTTTAAAATAATGTAAAAACATTGATGGCAACATAAAAATGTTTGACATACAATATGCTATTGATCAGTAGTAACGGGATTACAGAACAAAAATAATTTTAGGTAGTCACCATTGTCCTTTCTTTGCTTGTAGGTGATATTAGATAACATCGCATTCACAGAATCTCTTGCACAAACATAATTGTTTTTTCCACTATTTACATTTTGGCATTTTATGTAATATACTTGTTACTATTTTAATCATTTTTAATAAGCCAATATAGTGAGTTAGAAAAGTATCAACTATAGAATGAAAATGTAATGAACATTAAAGGAAAGAATTTTAGCAATTATGAACGCCCTGGCCACTTCACGGTAACCTCAGCAGTCCAATCCTCGTCGTGTGTGCATACAAGCAGAGTAACAGTGTTCAACTCAACAGAATGTTTTTTAAAAAAACACTTTACAATTGAAAAATGTGTAAATTATACGTGTAAGATTTGGATTTGGGGGCCAGGGATATAGCTCAGTGGTACAAGCGCTTGCCTGGCAAGCACAAGGTCCTGAGTTTGATTCCTGGTGCAGAAAAAAAAAAGAAAAAAAAATTGGATTTGGAAAATATGCATGAAAAAAAAAGCTTCTGTGCATTTGTATTACCTATGATACTGCCAAATTACTTTAATACACTACCACAGATCACCATTCTTTTAGAAGCATTGATCTAGTTCAGAGCTAGGATTTAACCTGCAATTTTACATAAATATCAAAAGATGAAAATAGTTAAAATAATAAGGGCATCAATACAAAATCACAAAGAAGCACTTGATAATAAAATAAGGCTCTTTATTCAACAGTAAAAATTATACAAACTAAAGTGAGAATATCACCAGAAACTAGAAGAAATGTACTACTTTACGTATAAGTACCCTGTCAAAAAAAGCCTGGTACATATTAAGTGCTCAGTAAATGTTTCTCAAATTGAAAAAAATGTTTAGGAGAAAATACTGATGCATTCTTTAAAATCAATCTTTTTCTTAATCCTGAACTTTTGCTGTAGCATACAGTTGCTCTTAAAATTAGTATGGTCTAGCCTGTTATTTAATTCCTAAGAGTCTAATGATGTCTGGTGACTTTATGATTGTTCTACTGACAGCTGCAAGTTTGAAGTCCATACATGCTTGGATTTTCTGTTATCTTGTATGTGATCCGAAGTCTGAACTGCTTTAATCAGTGCAGCAGGTACAGCAAAACTTTCCTTTTGCTAGACAAATGTTCCTGTTAAACTTCCTGGAATAATTTCCATTGAATTTAGGAGTAGTAGCCATCTATGTCCATGCTTCCTACAGAGTAAACCTATACTAAACCTGCCATTTGTCCCCAATATCTTTTTGTTTTCTCTTTTGTTCTGGGGTCCAAACCCATGAATTCATGTTTGCTAAGCACACATACTGCCACTGAGCTACATCTCCAGCTGCCCAGTGTCAGTCTGAAATACTTGCCGACTTCTGTTCTTAGTCTCTTTGAAGCAATTATCCATATTTGATTATTTTAGTAACCTTTTTTCTTCAGTTTACAATGGGGTTACGAATCCATCATAAATTGAAAATATCATAAATCAAAAATACATTTAATATACCTTAATTACTTAACAGCATTTCTAAACCTAGCCTGCCACCATGCTCAGAATACTTACACTACCCTATAACTGAGCAAAATAATCTTACACAAAGCCTTTTTTGTAATAGTGTCAAACACCTTATGCAATCTATTAAATACTGCACACAAAGTGAAAAACAGAATGGTATTGGTAGCCTGGGGTAGGGAGCCCAAATTAAAAATTTGAAGTAGTTCATGCTGAATGTCTATTGCTTTCAAAGAATCATAAAGTTGAAAAACTATGCCAAATCATCATAAATTGCGCACCATCTGCACTGATAGTCCTTAATTTGCCTGTCAAACCAGTTTGTACTTTTCTTGACTACAACTTGGAAAACATATTGTGCACATATACAAGGCAAAAACGTTTAACAAAATGAATTTAAAGTTTCAGAATTTGTAATTAAAAATGTTAAAGTTCATATTTTTATTATAAATATAATATAGGATATTTTCATATTGTGGGTAGAAACACACATACTACTCACACATATACTGAAAATGTATTATGTATATTCATTTGAAGACTGCAAAGTGTGTTTTTCGATGACCACTGCTTATGAGGAAGCAAAATAATAGAGAAATAACTTTCTCAGTAAGTTCCTTTAAAAGTAAAATTCCTGTTAAAATAAAATTCAATTGCTAAGAAGGTATACAATCCCAAGGCCAGGGAAAATCATAGATCTCAGGAAGCATCTAATCTAGACAGATCATTTTACACATGAAGAAATGAAGGATGAAAAAAAAAAAAGAAATGAAGGATGAGTTTAAAATATTTTAAAATAAGGTACTAGTCATCAGATTTGACACAAAGTGCAAGAAAGGACATCAGCTTTATAATTTTAAAACTATGATAAAAAGCCGAAAAATGCCAGAGGTGCAATAGTCACAAAAAACTGTGAAGTTAGTACACTATCTACCTTTGGAGCAGAGTTTCTTCATTTTTACAAAAACATAGTAAGATCTCGATAATTCTTAGTGTCAGTTATACTAGATGATCATTCTGTCAGTGTTAGTTGTGTTAATTTAGAAGACAAATTTGGCTTTGCTCAATGAATACTGAGCACCTAACACACATGCTATACACTGTCTTTAATTGATTGGCAAAGGTCTAGGATTGTATGAGGCTTTGAATAAACAAAATTAATGAATATTAATTTCTCATTCCTGTCTTTACTAAATATCTACTGAATACCTAGTGCAAGCAATGGAAGTACAATGAAAGTAAAAAGTCTTTGATTTCAGCCTAAAATATATTTCTAACTTTATCCTTTACTCAGGATGTTTATTTTCCAGTGGTACTTCAAATCTAAAAATAAAACTCAGACTTCAAACTAAGCGAAGCTATAGGATACAGACTTTTAATCTGACTGCCTATATTATAAAATTATAATGGATAACTATTTTGCAAACAGTTATTTTCTTTATATCTAGTTATATTTCACTAATAGTGTAACTAGAAGCAGTAAAATTTGCTTTGTTTTTGTCAAATGCCTAAAACTTTAAGAACTAGACAACTGTAAATTAAATCTAAACAATATACTATTCTTACACAGACAAAAGTGATTTCCTTCCTTTATTAAGTTCTTATTTTCGGACATACCAATTTGTATTCCTCAAAAGAGGAATCCCATTAAATATACAAAAAAGATGAGTGTTTTTCTCCTGCTTCCAATATTTGCATCAGTCTCCCCAGAGGATCATGACATATGTTAAAACTTAACGTATACATCATTGTACTTTCCAGCTGAATTTTATTCCCAAATGGCACTTTTATAAATTAAAATTCTTTAACTAAATCCAGGATCAACAAATAGTTGCTAGGTTATTAGTAATTAAAATTTTAAAGCATTTATGTTATTCAACCGGGAACCCTACCTTGTCACTCCAGCCTAGTAACACAAATTAGAGATAATTCTTAGTAAGATTACAGTGTGGATCGTATGTATGTGTACACGTGTATATGTATACCCATGTTGTAAGTTCATGGGCTTTTGGGGGGACATAATCATGTCTGACAAGGTAAATCAAGAATAACAATAATAATTTGCTTGAAATTTAGAAATAATAATCCCTTTAAAATTTCAACAGCATATTACCTTTATGTTGTTATAATAAGATGCTCAATAAAGCTGTTAGCGTAAGGCTAGGTAAAAAGGTCTGTTTTAAGAATAACATTCATCATTACTCAAAGTAATACAAAACATGTTGTAGATTATCAGAGATATTTAGCTTGGACAAGAGCAGTCACTTTGAGAAATGTTCCATAAATATTTAAAGAGGCAGTAAATTCTTCTTCTCCTGCTAAATTATTGGATTTTGCATGTCATCTGGGTTTTCTAAAAGGAGAATTTTGCATTTATATTAAATACCTCTACAATATTTAAGTTTCTAAAAAAGAACAAAGGAGATGCATCCCTAAAATATCCAATATCTGGATTTAGATAACAGTCAATGAGTAACTTAAGGGAGCCTTGAACACTGTCAATTCTTTCCGACATGGAAGTACAGACAGTGGTAGAATAGTATAATGAAAATATTACATGTTTTCTAAGGCACACAGTTAACTCAGCATCTGAAGTGGGATTTATTTGATGGACTGCAATAAGTTCTCAGAACACTTACTACAGCTCAGGTAGAAATAGGCAAATATTCACATAATATGTAAGTGTGTAATAGAGAAAGGTATTTCAACTAAAATACATCAATCCTCACATCTGAAATCACTTAGAAATTACTGATGTATTTGGAAGAACTTCTGTATAAAGATGTTTTAGGATGATACATAATGTCAATGGTTCGGAAGCCTAGAAGGTTCTCCTCTGTTTAACAATACCTCATTTCCACTACAGAAAGCCTGGTCTCCAGTCCCACTATGCAATGCCTGCTTTACATTAAGTCTTATTTCAGCGTTACCACACCAAGTGACTATATTATAAAAGGCCTCCAGATCGCTCTGTTCAAATGTAAGAGCAGGTTTCAGTACTATTCCAGGGGTAAGAGAACTGTCTCCAATGATTCTCAGGTTGATAAATTTGATTTTCCAAGTATTTTCCACAAAAGGACAGCGGATAAGTCCAAAGATTTGCTCAAAAATGCCCAAACAAGTGTTCCCTCGGTGCACAGTCCCTGCAACTCCAATCATAACTAATCCATGGGGAGAAGTAGCGCATTTTAGTCCACGGGAATCTAAGTTAGGGCTGAGAAAAAGAAATTCTTCTTTCACCAGTGACAGCAAGCGAAGGCTCACAATCTCTGCTCCATGGTAGTCTATTACATTTTGTTCTGATGTTTTGTAATAAAACCTAAGCTTGACATCGTGCCAGAAATGCTGTGGCCCCCATTCATCTTGAGGTGGTCCCATGAAAGGATTCTGAGAATTTAGAAGTTCAAAGAACCAGTGACAAAATTCTTCTCCTAGGCGGCGAAAATCAACTTTTTCAGCTTTTTTATCTTCTTTTTTCTGCTGATTAAAATAAAAATAAAGCTAAGTTATAAAACTCTGACATACTTTTTTAAATCTAGCTTGTTTCAGAGCTGTTTTAGTATACTGATCACAGCAAAGAGAAATGAAATACATGGGATCTCACTGAACACATCATATATATAATTTGTTTACAAAAAGGAGAAAAATCATTTTAGCATTTTCCAGGTCAAAAATCTTAAAACTTAGCTAAGTAAAGTTAACAAGGCCCCAACTGGGTGCAGTAGCACATCCTAGTTATGGCTATTAGGAAGGCTGAGGCAGGATTGCTTGACCCCAAGAGTTCAAGGCTAGCCTGGGCAACACAAAAAACCTGTCTCTCCAAAAATAAATAAAAAGTAGAAAACTAATGAAGGAACTGTACATACAATACCTGTGAATTTGAAGTCTTTGATGAAATGGACAAATTCATTTCAAACTAACAAGGCTCATAAAGTACTAGGATGAACAATGATAGTGAACTATATAAGCATCTTCTCTTCATTCTGATCGGATCTGTCTGTCACAGCCTTCAAACTGCATGCTTCAAATGGATGTGCTTTGGTGTGCACATAAATTATATTCCAATAACGTTATGATAAACATTTTTAAAATCTTTAAATGTATACTCTGAACTCTCTTCACAATAAACACTATGATATAGATACTGCTATTATGATGTTTTTGGTGTTGAGGGTTTTGTACTATCATTGAGCTACACCCTTAAGCCCCTTATGATCATTTTATAGATGAAGAAAATACAGATCAAACTCTTTGCCTGATCTCACACATCTTCTATGCCACTAACCTAAACTGAAATAACAGCTGTAGGGCTGGGGATTTAGCTCAGCAGCACAGCGCCTGCCTGGCAAGCGCAAGGTTGTGAGTTCGATTCCTGGTACCGGAAAACCCCTCTCCTCTCCCAAAAAAAAAAAAAAAAATTAAATAACAGCTGTATTATTCCAAAGCACATTCTCTTTTCTGTACATTAAGTTACAAAGTACTTAGATCCTTTCCTAATGTGAAAGCAAAACAATTCTCTTCAGACAGTTAACATTTAAATTCTCATTCAATATCTGAAGTGCACCAAAAAATAGCAACAACTAATGCTGGCTGAAGAAAACTGCTACAGGATTTTTTCTAGCTAAATATTTCAAGTTCTCTCATGAAAGTTCTGTAATGGTAGCAATGAAATCTTAAAAATGTGAAAGAATTTACAATAATTTTATTATTCCTTTTTTTATTAGTATATGTTTGCAATAAATAATACCTACATTCATCACAGGAAATTTGTATGTACACATACATATGTGTATTTAATCCCGTCTTGCTCCTTTTCACTTCTCCCTCTTCTCCCCTACTTTTCATCTCTTTACATCGCTAGATCCCCTTCTCATCCACAGTCTTTTAAAATGGAAGAAAATTAGAGAACCAGTGTCTAAACTAAAGTGAAATTAATCTTAAATTTACTTTCAAAAAACTCAATAGTTCTCATCTGATAAGGGAAGAAAAAAAATTTTTCCTCATATATCAATACACCACTAAACATCAAAACTAATTTTTTCTCTAAGTTGTTTTACTGGTCTTTCCTTTTTTACTTTGTAAAAGTTATGGAGTAAAGTTATAAGATACAAATAAATTGTACAACACAAATATTATTAACTATCTCTCCCAGATCTAAGATTATCTGTGGGCCTTCAGACAGAACAAAGATTCAGAACGTAACTATAAGATCTATTTACCTGTTGAATGAATTGGATGTTCTCTTTCTTTGTAAGTGGCTCTGATGTTTTCACCAGTTTGAGCTTTGTTAACCTTTCCCAGTAATCTTTTGCATACTGAATAAGATTGTGTTTTTCAGTAGTGGGAGGAATAACAATCCCCTGCGTTGCCAAGTACTTAAATATGACTTCCCGGTGGACCTTCTTACGCTTCAGAAGTTCTTCTACACTTTGACTGTACACTAATATTGCCCGAATAGCATCTAGAAGAAAATTAAAAGGATTAATAAAAAAATCATGAGGCACTTACAAATTTGTCCAACGTCAGCAGACATTCTACCAGAAAGTAAACTCTCACTATGGATTTGCTTTTGCGTAGGGTTTTTAATTTCATGGCTTAAACATCCTTATCGAAAAAAGTCCCCCTTCCTTTCTTTCCATATGTGACAGTAACATTCTAGCACAATTTTAAAAAGTGTTTTAAGAACAAATCCAAGCCAGAAAATGTATGTTTTTCTAATAAGACCACGAAATGTGAATTCACATATAATCTCCTAAAAATCTGTACAATTACATATTTTAGACATTAATGAATTTTGGATCAATTTTCTCAATCTAGATACTCAGAGTTGAACATAAACAAGATACCAAAAAAAAAAAAAAAAAAAAAAACCAACATACCAAGAGTCACATTTCTACGAAGTGGCAGAACCAGAACCTGTTTTTTTTTTTAATTAAAAATACTTATTCACAAAGCCAGGCAAGGTGATGCACGCCTGCAATCCCAGCACTTGGCAGGCTGAAGCAAAAGGATCACCACAAGTCTGAGGTCAGCTTGGGCTACACAGTAAGTTCAAGACCAGCCTAAACTACACAATGAGACCCTGTCTCAAAAAATAAATAAGTAAAATAAAAATAAAAAATATATATATACAACTCAAACCAAATACTCTTTGTATGTGTGAGGTATACAGAGTGGCAATAAAATGTACTCACATATAATGTCTCCAAGTAAATACTTACTAGTATCTTTAAGGCCCCATTTCACCTCTCCCCAGTGCTATTACCTTCTCTTCTCACTCATCTTACAGAATGGCTACTATCCTCCACATTATTTAATATTTCTTGCTTTTCTTTATAACTGCATAGCATAAATAATTGTTTCTAAACAATATATTTAGCACAGTATTTAAAAATATTCTGTAAAGTTAATCCATTAATATGGATAGTCTTTTGGAATCAGCTTTTCATTTATTGTTGTTTTTGCTATTAATCTACTTAGATAGGTAGTTCTAGTTAATTCCTTTTCACTGTAGTGAACCAGCAAGTCCTGTTCAGACTTTTGTTGCGCCTGTCCTATTGCTAACACTGCTACTTTGAATATTCTTATACACATCTGCCGGTGCACAGAAGGGTGAGCGGCATGAGCACCACCCAGGTGTGTGTTAGAAACGTATCCCTCTGGGCCTACCCGATCTACCGCACTGGGATTCAAAGGTGCATTAAAGTCTGATAAGCCGAAGCAGGGATGGCGAATCTTTCACAGGCAAGGGCCCAACATGCAGCCCAAAACCCACTTATTTACAGCAAAATGCCAAGACTGCAATTAAATCTGAATGTTGAGGCTTTCGTTTAGGAACACACAACTCAAACATTCACATTTTTTGCTTTAAAAGAAAAAAAAACACGCACGCCATAGATTTGCCACCAATGGGCTAGGGTAAGTGTCTCATCTTTCATTTTAGGAGACAATGTCAAATTTGTTTTCCACTGGGGCAGCTGTAATTTACATTCCCCCATAGTTGTCAGACTTGCTTCATCTAATCACCAACAGGTGAAGCTTTTTTTAAAAAAAATGCTTTGTCAATCTGGTACATGAAAGGACAACTTTAGTTTGGATTTTTTTTTCTACAAAGACTGAGTATCTTTTTATACGCTTATTGCTTATTTTCTTCTGAACTCTCTCTTGAAATCATTTAAATAATCTTATATTGCGTTTTACTTTTTTCCTTATTTGCTTTTAGATTCACTTCCAAATATTTCCAGCATTTTTACCTATTACAATTTAAATTCACACTCACCATACCTGCGAGAAGGCGATTAACATGTAAAATTTATAAATGCTGCGGAACTATATTAGTCTAAAGGTTTTCTAGTCTAAAGTTTTAGGAAGACCGGGCGTGGTGGCGCACGCCTGTAATCCCAGCACTCGGGAGGCTGACACAGGAGGATCGCTGTGAGTTCGAGGCCAGCCTGGCCTACATAGTGAGCTCAAGGCCAGCCTGAACTGCACAGCGAGACCCTGTCTCAAAAAGACAAAAATAAATAAATAAATAAAGTTTTAGGAATGCCTCTCTTTTTAAGGTTCACTGTTCAAAGATGTAAACAACTGATTTTCTTAAATGCCCAAAAGGTACATCCGGCTTAGCAGCCCCTGAAATCGACTCTTCCTTAACGTGTATCGGATTCTGAACGTACCCTTGCCCACGAAATCGTCACGAAAAAATTTTGGCTTCAAAGAGAGCTGAATTGAAAACCTCCTCTTTTGATCACAGGGGGTGTTTCACCCAAGCGCCCCACAGCAAGCGTGCAGGGCTCCCCCACCACCTCCCAGGCTGAGCGGCGGCCCCGGCCGGGCGAGGCTGGCGGAGAAACGGCCCGGCGCCCGGCACCCTCGGCCAACGAGCCCAGGCTCGACGTTACAGCGTGAAACCCGGGGGAAGCCGCGCCGGCGTCCGCCTCGCCAGCCGAGGCCTGCGGCAGGCTCCAGGGCCG